CTGCCACAGCTACAACAGCTGCTGCTGCTGCTGCTGCTGCTGCTGCTGTTTAGAGACAAAAAAAACTAAAGTTGCTTACCTCCCCTTCAGAAGAAGAAGACTCCTTGTGCTGCTGCTGCTGCTTCTTCTTTTGTCGCCGCTGCGCTGCTCTGCTGAGTTTGCCTTGGGCTGCCTGGCTCGTCCCCGCTGCAGCTGCTGCTGCTGCGTCATCTGCTGCTGCTGCTGCATCTGCTGCTGCTGCGCCTGATGCGGGGCTTTCTGCTGCTCCTGCTGCTGCTGCTGCGGGCTTCGCAGTGGGAGCCCCTTCTATGTCTTGCAGCAGCTTATCTATATCATCTCCGTCTTCTGCTGCTGCTGCCTTTGCTGCCCCTCCCTTTGCTGCTGCCCCCTTGGTGGCTGCCTTTGCTGCTGCCTTTGCTGCTGCCTTTGCTGCTGGTTTTGCTGCTGCTGCTTTTGCTGCTGCTTTGGGAGGTGAGGGACTCTCAATTTCCGCCAGCAGCTCGTCGATATCATCATCCACCTGCACATAAACCCTAGTGCTGCTGCTGCTGCTGCTGCTGCTGCTGCTTCTGCTGCTGCTGCTGCTCGGTGCTGCTACTGGTGAAGCTCACAGCAGCTCTTTGCTGCTGTTGCGAAACACAGTTCTGCTGCTGCTGCTGATGCTTCTCACCTGCGGAGATTTCTTTCCCTTTTTTCCTGCTGCTGCTGCAGTAGGTTTTGCAGCTGCTGCTGCAGGCTTTGCAGCTGCTGTTGCAGGTTTCGCCGCTGCTGCTGCAGGTTTCGCCGCTGCTGCTGCAGCTGTTGCTGGCTTCGGAGAGGGAGCAGCAGCTACTTTGGCTGGTGCTGCTTCCTCGTCAGAAGCATCACTTTCCTCGCTGCTGCTGCTGCTGCTGTCGGCGCTACCACTGTCGCTGCTGCTGCTGCTGCTGCTGTCGCTACTGCTGGATGAAAGAGCTACAAATTTGCTTTTAGGTTTTGCTGCAGGCAGCTCGTCCTCGCTGCTGCTGCTGCTGCTACTATCCTGCAACGGCAACAACCGCAAACGCAGCAGCAACAGAGCCATATCCAGCTAACCTACCGCTGCTGCAGCTGCTGCTGCTGCTGCTGCCGCTCCCTCGCTGCTTCCGCAGCCTTTGCTAGTGTCGCTGCTGGCCTGCTGCTGCTGCTGCCGCCATTTCGCGCCCTTGTTGCCGCTGCTGCTGCTCTGCTGCTGCTGCTGCTGCTGTTACCTGTTGGGCAGCAGCAGCAAGGTCCTCCTCGGAGGAGTCTGCTGCTGCTCTGTCGCTCCTCTTCTTTCGCCGCGCCGCCATTTTGGAGTTTCAAAGAAGAATCAAATAACAAATAAATAAATAAAAAGAATAAAAGAATAAAAATTGAAGAAGTTTAGTTGCTGCCGAGGCACTCGGCTTGAAATAGCGCACAAATGGTCATACACCCTATCCCCGGCTGCTGCTGCTGCTGCTGCTGCGCTGCTGCTGTCTTGCTGCTAAATTTCCACTAAAAATAACAAATTCAAAAGAAATAAAAGAAACGAACAGAGCCGCAACCAAACACTATGCGCTGCTGTCCGCTGTGGGGCCTAAACCGTAAACCCTAAACCCTAAACCCTAAACCCTAAACCCTAAACCCTAACGCAGCGGCATCAGCGGCAATTGATACAAGAGAGAACCAGCAACAGCAACTTCGAGCGAAGCAGTATGTGCCGCGTCGTCTTGCTGCTCAACTTCTCTGCTGCAGCTCCGGCGTCTGCTGCTGCTGCTGCTGCTGCTGCTGGCGCCGCTGCTGCTGCTGCATGAGCAGCAGCCCCAAGCCCCCGGGGCCCCAGCTGCATGTCTGCAAAAGGTCTTTCAAAATTGATAATAAAAAATTATTATAAAGAGCAGCAAAACGCAAAACACTGAGTTTCCTCTAGCTGCCTCTGCTGCTGCAACTGCTGCTGCTGCTGCTGCTGCAGCTGCTACCGGCCTTACTGGTGTCTCGGGCCTTAGGGGGCCCCTGGGGGCCCCCAGGCTGCAGTACACATGGGAGCTCTTGCTGCTGCTGCAGGCAGTCACCCGTTGCTGCTGCAGCAGCAGTTGCTGCCGCTGCGCTCCCTTCTGGTGCTGCTGCCGCTGCTACAGCTGCAGCTGCAGCTGCAGCAGCAAGGCGTCCCCTGTGCTGCTGCTGTCCAGCTTAGGGGGCCTCCGAGGGCCCCCACGGGCCCCCTAGGGTTTGTAGATTTATTTCTGTACCCACTTTTGCTGCAAGGGGGCCCCCAGGGGGCCCCGCGGGAGCCCCCAGGGGCGCTGCTGTCTCGTGTCCCTAGCAACGCTGCAGCAGCAACAGCAGCAGCAGCAGCAGCAGCACGGCCTGCTGCTGCTGCTGCTGACGATGATAGTGATAGCAGCGACCCTTGGGGGGTCCCCGATGAATCAGCAGCAGAGCAGCAGCAGCTGCTGCAGCAGCTGCAGCAGCTAGAAGAGGAAGAGAAGCAGGGTTTTAAACCCTTAAATAGGGCCCAGTAAGTCATTGTCTAGGGTTTGAGGTTTAGGGTTTAGGGTTTGCACCCTGGGCCCCTCCGTATAATCTGCTTAATTGAGCTCCTGTTCAGCGCCTAAGGCCAAGTGTTTGGGGTTTAGGGTTTAGGGTTTAGGGTTTAGGGTTGAGGGTTTAGGGTTTTGTGTCAGCTACTCAGGCGTCGAGCCCTC